TATATGGTGGGGGCCCCCGCCCCCCCCGGGGGGGGGGGGGGGGGGGGGGGGAGAGGCTGCGGGGACTGGTCTAGCTCTGAGGTTCAGGTGAGTATATCTTTTTTTATTCTCGTCCCTCGACGAAATTGAGCATTTAACCCTTGAGGTTCGGGCGCAGCCCCAATGCATGGGTAACGACTGCATGGGTTAAAATCTGGTGACCGCTCAATGCCAGTCAAAAAAAAAATCTATAAAGGCAGCCAATCCCATGGCTGCACACACACTTTGGCGCTTGCGGAGAAACCTCCAACTGGTAGCCTTCGACTTTCCTCGGGTGCTGTTTTTTTTCATACCACACTGTCAACTGCATCTGTGCGAGCGAACTTCCCACCTTACACCGCTTGACATTTTTGTTGCAAGCAATGGAATGGATAGCACATGCCCGAGTACCTGCAGATGTGCCGCTCACGGCATCCAATCCAACAGCAGCAAGCTGGAGGTCCGCTCATGTGGTTACATATAAATATTCCGTAACGGAAACCCTCATGTGTCTGAAATGAGACGCGCCACAATGGCCTCCAGCGTGCAATTTAATTTTAAAAAAATACTTCTGTCAGACGCATCATGAGGACAACCTAATGCATTCTGATGAGGTTTTCAAGTTCTAAACTACAATGACAGAGCGTCATAATACAGCGCTAATGGATATTAATCTACATCGCCAAAGGTCTGAGGACCTCTGACCATCGCACCAACATGAGCTGATTGTAGACATCTGACCATCGCACAACATGAGCTAGTTGTAGACACCTGATCATCACCCCTATATGAGCTGGCTGTGGACATCTGACCTTCACACATATGAGCTGGTTGTAGACACCTGACCATCACCCCTATACGAGCTGGTTGTAGACATCTGACCATCACACCTATATGAGCTGGTTGTAGACATCTGACCATCACTCCTATATGAGCTGGTTGTAGACATCTGACCATCACTCCTATATGAGCTGGTTGTAGACATCTGACCATCACTCCTATATGAGCTGGTTGTAGACATCTGACCATCACCCCTATACGAGCTGGTTGTAGACACCCGACCATCACACCTATATGAGCTGGCTGGAGACATCTGACCATCACCCCTGTATGAGCTGGTTGTAGACATCTGACCATCACATCTATATGAGCTGGTTGAAGACATCTGACCATCACTCCTATATGAGCTGGTTGTAGACACCTGACCATCCCACCTAGATGAGCTGCTTGTGGAGTCCTGACCATCACACCTATATGATCTTGTTTTGGACACCTGACCATCACTCCTATATGAGCTGGTTGTAGACACTTGACCATTACACCTATATGAGCTGGTTGTAGACACTTGACCATCACACCTATGTGAGCTGGTTGTAGACACTTGACCATCACACCTATATGAGCTGGTTGAGGACACCAGACCATCACTCCTATATGAGCTGCTTGTGGACACCTGATCATCACTCCTATATGAGCTGCTTATGGACACCTGACCATCACTGGTATATGAGCTGCTTGTGGACACCTGACCATCACACCTAGATGAGCTTCTTGTGGAGTCCTGACCATCACACCTATATGATCTTGTTTTTGACACCTGACCAGCACCCCTATATGATCTGGTTGTGGTCTATTAATATGGATTTGCCTCCCACCCCCCACGGCCATTAATATATAGTTGGCCTCACTTTGTGGCTATAACATCGTCCATTCTTCTAGGAAGGCTTTTCACAAGATTTTGGAGTGTGTCTGTGGGAAATTGTCCCCTTTTCTGAGGTCAGTTACAGCAATCGGTCCTACAGTGGAATCCAGTGCCGTGTGAAACAATGTCTGCATTCTTCCAGAGCGCACATAACGCTGTGAACATGGCGCATAAATAAAAACCCAACTGGCGTGCGACGAGATGCATTTTTCCTGTGCAGAGGTACTTGTTTTTCCTTGCCTTAAAGCTCGCACACGCCGCAGCAGTGTTTACGTCCTGTAAAGAGCTCACACCGGCAACATCAAATCTACTGTAAGACCCCAAAGAACATCAGCTTCCAAGTCCAGGGTCTGTCCACATCTGTGGACACAAGTGCCGGCCAAACAGAGCTCGCCCTGGCTTCCCAAGTGTCAAAACGCAACAGGGGCAACCACACTTCGATGTTATGTGCATGAATAAAACTTTATCGTTCCAGGGACAAAAAAAATACAGGAGATACGCCAGATCCTCCTCACGCACACAGGGTGTCTACATTTAAGCCCTGTTTTAAGTGAAAAGCATCAGAGTGAGGAGATTCTTGTTTTTTTTGTCTGGAACAATAAAGTTTCATTGATGCCGATGTCATCACTTTCCCAGGGGTAGCCTCTAAGCTGCAGAAAAAGTACAAGTCCCATCATGCCTCAGCATCTGGAAGTTAGGCCGGTAGCTGTCACTCTTGTAATGCCTTGTAGTTCCACAACAGCTGGAGGGCCCATGTTTGGCTACCCCTGCAATATACCATGGGGAAAGGGTGGCATAATGTGGACCTGCAGCTGTACTTTAACTACAAATCCCAACATGCCTCTGGGAGCCATGCCTGCAACTGTCAGTCTTGCAATGCCTCATGGGACTTTGTAGTTCCAGAGTCAGATGTGAAACCCTCCCTTGCCTCCTAAAGCTACTCACTCAGGGGGTCAGTGCTTAAGACAGGGGTGGCCAAACTCCGGCCCTCCAGCTGTGGTGAAACTACAAATCCCATGATGCATCTCTCACCGGGAGTCATGTCTGCGGCTGTGAGAATCTTGCAATGCCTCATGGGATTTGTAGTTCCACCACAGCTGGAGGGCCAGAGTTTGGCCTACCCCTGGCTTAAGACAATCACAGTATTCACTAATGTGTCCATTTTGGCAGAACTACAACTTCAAGCATGACGTGTGAAGGAGTCGCCAGGGCGCCAACAACAAACCGCAATACTGACAGCTGTGTTTTGGCTAGAAGCACATACCCCCCCTAAGGTAGGTGGACAAATTAATACAGAATTCAGGAGCCAGTCTGTCCAATCCAGGAGCCAGCGGGATTTTTGTAGGAGCCGGCTCTATTGACAACTACAGAAAACCTCAATAGTTTGGTGCCAACTGTCACTTTGGAAGAAGATTGGCTACTTCGCTCCAGGGATTTCTCCAGCCCTGCCCTGAGCTTCATTCACATAGTGGATTCAGCCTGTACACCAGCGGGAAGCCACGGAATTCTGCGGCTGTTCACACATGGGAGTGCTTACATACAGCTAGGGTCGGATGAACGGACCTGCATGCATATGGAATCTGTCCCTAGCCGCATGTAACCGCACACAGAGCTCCTGTCCCTGGCCGTGCCTGATCGCACGCCCTTGTGGACACCTGACCATCACACCTAGCTCTAGAAGAGAACCAGTCAGAGCACACATAAAACAGAACGCTTTGCTGACTTGTTTTTAACGTTCCAGGCTGTCATCCTGATCCATCCTATACTGAACAGTGAATTTGGATCGCCTATCATCTATTCCAGGGGTAGGCAAACTCCAGCCTTGCAGCTGTTGTGCCACTACAACCCATTGCGATGCATTGCGAGGCTCTGGCAGCCACAGGCATGACTCCCAGGAGGCATAAAGGGATTTGTAGTTTCAACACAGCTGGAGGGTCTGAGTTGGCCTACCCCCTGCTCTATACAGTGAGCTACAGTGTGGTGCGGCGGGGATGGAGATGACAGCCATAGATTTCAAAATAAGTGAGCAAAGGCAGCTTTCATATATCTGTTATGACATGTTCCTTTTAGAGCAGGGGAGGGAAAACTCCAGCCGTGGTGAGACTACAAACCCCATCATGGAATTGTCACCACTCCTCATGGGATTGTAGTTACACCACAGCTGGAGGACCAGCATTTGCCCACCCCTGCGTTAGGCTGCACCTGAGAGACGTACAGGGCTGCCCCTTGAAAATACTAGCTGCCTGGTTGTCCGGCGTCATCATTCCCAAATCATAGACTGGGAACATGCAATCAGGCGTGCGCAGCTCCGTCCCTCCAGCTGTTGTAGAACTACAAGTCCCATAAGCCACTGCTAGACTCTGAAAGCCACAGGCATGACTCCTAGTGGCAGAGGCATGATGGGATTTATAGGTAAAGCACAGCTGGAGGGCCGGAGTTGCCCACTCCTGCCAGTGACAGTATTAAAGTCAGGGGATCAATATGACAACCAGCATTCTTCTGAGAGGTCTGTGATGGCAGCCTACATTATTCTCTTGTGACAGGTTCTCTTTAAAGTAGCCCATTGCCCCCAAGATGTGCCGTGCTCCTGAATGCTTTGTCTCATCCGGTGTGTTGGGCCCCGTAGCCACCCCCCTCGCCAGTCATGTGACACACTCCGGAGATCAGTTACCTCTTCCAGCTCATCCTTGGCATCCAGGCTGGTGGAGATGAATAACTTGCTATTGGCTTTCTGTTCCATGGCGGGGCGCTGGGTGTCACCGTTCTGTGTTTATGCCGTCTGGGGGGTGAGGACTGTCATATGAATGGGGGGTCAGAAATGAAAATATGGATTGGGGGACTTTAGTGATAGTGGATATGGTGACATCTAGACTAGATTGGGGGGTCTGCTTATTGGGGGTTTATAAAACACCAAAACTGCTTTTTTGGAGGGCTACAAAAAGAATTGGAACTGTATTGAGGAATAAGGATCACCGGCTATGTATGAGAGGATCTATAGGATATGTGGGCCCCTGGAGTTTTGAGTGTTGTAAGGGGCCCTTGGCAATGCAATTAAGGATTAAGAAGCCCCAGGCTCTTTATTATGAGGCCCTTTAAGTTAAGAGTGGCCCCTGATTGGTAGGCTGAAGGTCCCAGTCCTTCTACAGGAACATGGGATAGCCAATGGTAGCAGAGGGTCCAAATGTGAGTATGGGGCCGGTTACTACTGGCACTGTGGGGTATATAGAGCCAAGCTGTAAGTTAGAGGCCCAATAGGAAAGAAGGGGACCCTGGCTGCGTACTGGGGAACCTATGAGACTTCAGGGGCCACCAGCTGTCTGTTAGGGGCCTATGTGTAAAAAGGGGGCCCTGGAAGAATATTGGGGATCCCACAGGAAGAGAGGGGCCCTGTCTGTCTATTGGGGATCCTGCAGGAGGAGATGGACCTTTGGCTGACTAGCAGTGGTCTACAGGTTTGAGGGGCACCTGCTATGATTTGGGGATCCTACAGGAAAAAAAGGGGCCTCAGACTATCTATTACTCTCCCACAGGGTATGAGGGGCCCCTGGCTGCCTATAGGGGAACCTACAGGGAAGGAGGGGCCCCTAATTTTTTATTGGGGATGCTATAAGGAAGTAAGGGCTGGCTGACTATTATTATCCTCGAGGTTATGAGGGGTCCCTGGCTGTCTATTATTACCCTCGAGGTTATGAGGGGTCCCTGGCTATCTTTAAGGGGCCTATTGGGAATGAGGGCTCTGCCTGGCTTGCGTGAACCTAAGTCGTTCACTGGGGGACCTATGGAAGTTCAGGGGCCCTATAAGAAGTGTGGGGCCCCTGGCTGAATACTGGGGCGCTTTTCTCCGCTGCCCCCCGGCTCTCTCACCCCCTCTCCTAGCACACACAGGAAACCATCCAGAGCCCAACAACCGGCCGGAAGCGCCCGCCCCCCTCGATAGCCACCATCCAATCACAGAGCGGGTAGCCATTGGACTGACAGGAGATCGCACCGCCCTCCGACGTGACGTAATTGCTTCCACCAATAGCAACCGGGCAAGACTTGCGCGAGGAGGAAGCGTGTAGCCTGTCACGTGATTTCTCTTCGGCGGGGACTCCGCCATGTTTGTTGAGGGCACATGAGCTCGAGGAGGTGATATTTCTGATTGGCTGAGAAACGGGTTTCGTCATCGGGGAGCGCCGGAAATACTACTACAGTGAATTCTGGAGCGCAGGAGAGTGTTCTGTGTTGCCAATAGTAAACCCTTTAACTGTTGCCTATAGCAACTTCCCACTTCCTCATCGTCTTTGCACTACATTGTGGGAGTTTGAATTGAAGCCAGTCATGAGAAGAATAGACAGGTGGCCACCTAAAATACTTGTTGCCTCACGTGACTCTAATATGTGACAGCAGAATGGTCTCCATACAGGGCCCCTGAGGTGACTCCATCCACTGGGCTACACAGCTGACAATCGCCTCAGATCTGCCCCTGGTGCCCGGGGAGTTTTGTAAAGAGATATAGAGCAGGTCACATGATTCTGAAAATAAAACCACCGACCGCCGTCATATGACCTAAATGCTAAGCGGCCCAGGTCACGTTGGCTAGCGGGAGCCTTGTGGATGTTTCATATCATTAGTGACTGCAGCGAATTCATAGAGAGTCAGCACGGCACCATCAGGAAGCAGAGGTTGTATATATAGCGAGGTAATATGTCTGTTTTTCTGGATCCAGACAGCTTGGCCAGGTCAGAGACGTCTTGCACCCACAATGCAGTGCGGCCAGCGATCAGACAAGGAATCTGCACGCTAGGAGAGATCGTCACTCTGCTGCCTGTCTCTGCGCAGAGGTATTTATCCCGTATCAAGTGTATTAGAGATATATCATGTGATGATTATTATTTATTGATACCATAACCGGACTTCACGCATTCAGCGACAACCTGATGTCTCCACATAACACATGGTTAGAAACACGGGTCCCTATCAGGGCAAAACAACGGGTTCTCTTGATAAACCCAACAACCCCTCCCCCATTCTCTGCACCATAATCCCCTCCGGCTCCCTTCATAGTTTGGTACTTCCAGGAGTGGGGAATCATGTGACCTCCTCCTAGTGTGCTCTCATGTGACCTCTTCCTAGGGTGCTCTCATGTGACCTCTTCCTAGGGTGCTCTCATGTGACCTCCACCTAGGATGCTCTCATGTGACCTCCTCCTAGGGTGCTCTCATGTGACCTCCTAGGGTGCTCTCATGTGACCTCCTCCTAGGGTGCTTTCATGTGACCTCCTCCTAGGGTGCTCTCATGTGACCTCCTCCTAGGGTGCTCTCATGTGACTTCTGCCTATGGTGCTCTCATGTGACCTCCTCCTAGGGTGCTTTCATGTGACCTCCTCCTAGGGTGCTCTCATGTGACCTCCTCCTAGGGTGCTCTCATGTGACTTCTGCCTATGGTGCTCTCATGTGACCTCCTCCTAGGGTACTTTCATGTGACCTCCTCCTAGGGTGCTCTCATGTGACCTCCGCCTAGGGTGCGTTCATGTAAACTCCTCCTAGGGTGCTCTCGTGTGACCTCCGCCTAGGGTGCGTTCATGTAAACTCCTCCTAGGGTGCTCTCGTGTGACCTCCGCCTAGGGTGCGTTCATGTAAACTCCTCCTAGGGTGCTCTCGTGTGACCTCCGCCTAGGGTGCGTTCATGTAAACTCCTCCTAGGGTGCTCTCGTGTGACCTCCGCCTAGGGTGCGTTCATGTAAACTCCTCCTAGGGTGCTCTCGTGTGACCTCCGCCTAGGGTGCGTTCATGTAAACTCCTCCTAGGGTGCTCTCGTGTGACCTCCGCCTAGGGTGCGTTCATGTAAACTCCTCCTAGGGTGCTCTCGTGTGACCTCCGCCTAGGGTGCGTTCATGTAAACTCCTCCTAGGGTGCTCTCGTGTGACCTCCGCCTAGGGTGCGTTCATGTAAACTCCTCCTAGGGTGCTCTCGTGTGACCTCCGCCTAGGGTGCGTTCATGTAAACTCCTCCTAGGGTGCTCTCGTGTGACCTCCGCCTAGGGTGCGTTCATGTAAACTCCTCCTAGGGTGCTCTCGTGTGACCTCCGCCTAGGGTGCGTTCATGTAAACTCCTCCTAGGGTGCTCTCGTGTGACCTCCGCCTAGGGTGCGTTCATGTAAACTCCTCCTAGGGTGCTCTCGTGTGACCTCCGCCTAGGGTGCGTTCATGTAAACTCCTCCTAGGGTGCTCTCGTGTGACCTCCGCCTAGGGTGCGTTCATGTAAACTCCTCCTAGGGTGCTCTCGTGTGACCTCCGCCTAGGGTGCGTTCATGTAAACTCCTCCTAGGGTGCTCTCGTGTGACCTCCGCCTAGGGTGCGTTCATGTAAACTCCTCCTAGGGTGCTCTCGTGTGACCTCCGCCTAGGGTGCGTTCATGTAAACTCCTCCTAGGGTGCTCTCGTGTGACCTCCGCCTAGGGTGCGTTCATGTAAACTCCTCCTAGGGTGCTCTCGTGTGACCTCCGCCTAGGGTGCGTTCATGTAAACTCCTCCTAGGGTGCTCTCGTGTGACCTCCGCCTAGGGTGCGTTCATGTAAACTCCTCCTAGGGTGCTCTCGTGTGACCTCCGCCTAGGGTGCGTTCATGTAAACTCCTCCTAGGGTGCTCTCGTGTGACCTCCGCCTAGGGTGCGTTCATGTAAACTCCTCCTAGGGTGCTCTCGTGTGACCTCCGCCTAGGGTGCGTTCATGTAAACTCCTCCTAGGGTGCTCTCGTGTGACCTCCGCCTAGGGTGCGTTCATGTAAACTCCTCCTAGGGTGCTCTCGTGTGACCTCCGCCTAGGGTGCGTTCATGTAAACTCCTCCTAGGGTGCTCTCGTGTGACCTCCGCCTAGGGTGCGTTCATGTAAACTCCTCCTAGGGTGCTCTCGTGTGACCTCCGCCTAGGGTGCGTTCATGTAAACTCCTCCTAGGGTGCTCTCGTGTGACCTCCGCCTAGGGTGCGTTCATGTAAACTCCTCCTAGGGTGCTCTCGTGTGACCTCCGCCTAGGGTGCTCTCATGTGACCTCCTCCTAGGGTGCTCTCATGTGACCTTCTCCTAGGGTGCTCTCATGTAACCTCCTCCTGGGGTGCTCTCATGTGAGCTCCTCCTGGGGTGCTCTCATGTGAGCTCCTCCTGGGGTGCTCTCATGTGACCTCCTCCTAGGGTGCTTTCATGTGACCTCCGCCTAGGTTGCTCTCATGTGACCTTTCCTAGGGTGCTCTCATGTGACCTCCTAGGATGCTCTCATGTGACTTCCTCCTAGGGTGCTCTCATGTGACCTCCTCCTAGGGTGCTCTCATGTGACCTCCTAGGATGCTCTCATGTGACTTCCTCCTAGAGTGCGCTAATGCGACCTCCTCCTGGGGTGCTCTGGGCAGCCAATCACCAGACAGACCAGTGGGGGCCGTGATTATCACCGGCTCTATCAAGAGAACCTGTCACTTAAATGAGGAAAGTGACAGATCCTCTTCAATGTCTGCCATTCATGGTAGTCGTGTAGGAAATTTTTAGGCTGGATTGCACTTCCTGCCAAGAGCACAACTCAGGTCAGCTTCAAGCAGTGGCTGCGCGCCATTCTCCTCCCCTTCTTCAACAATGCAGTTTCCTTCCAATATGACCAGAGCATATAGTTCACAATGGTGAGACCTCCCACCGTCCTCATCCCCCTGCTCCTATAATAGGCTCCCTGAAGTCTGATGAGAGATTGATGACACATTGCACACAATACGGCAACTCCAACACTGTCCATGGTTTTTGGGGCTGGGAGTTTAATCCTTGGTCCGATTGTTTGACATATAGTGTA